ATTATCATCATTGATTCTGCCACCCTAAAGGTTTCTTAACAAATTAAGTTAAAGAACTATTTTATTAAACAATTATAAAGTGATTTTAAGGATTATATATTTATGTATGTATATATATATATATATATATATATATATATATATATATATATATATATATATATATATATATATATATATATATATATATATATATATATATATATATATATATATATATATATATATATATATATATATATATATAGATGATGATAAAGTATTAATTAGCTGTTTATTAATAGTTAGTAAGGTGGAAGTACATGCAGAATAAAATCATACTTTAGTAGTCAGTAGTCAATAGCATGAATTGTGACCTAAACTAAAGTGTTACCATAAAATTTGAATACTTCATAGGACTAGCTAGGGAAAGTTGTTATTAACAAGTATTTTTGCTTGAGTTCAGGTAGACAGTATACATGTAAAGTAAAAAGACTGAGATATTATAAGTCTTTTCATGGAATCTTTTTTTTTACAGTGACTGGTTGTTTTATATAAGCTAAATGCATGAGAAAAAATGTGCTTTGCTTTTAAGTACTTGCATATTTTTACAGGAAAACAAGTCAAGAATCTCATTGCAAATAGACTTACAACTTTTTTCTCACTTCAAGAGTCAGCTCTTGGTCTGCATTTTCAAGCTGCGTATGTTATTTATTAGGCCATAAACAAGTCCATACTTTAAGTTGTGTTTGTTTGTCAGTGTTTGATTACTTCCCTAAACATGACTGTAAGTGTTTGTGACTTTTTAACCTCTGTCTGAAAGGGTGAAGATGGCGAGAATGGCCTAGATGGAGTGGATGGAGAACAGGTCACACAATTCCCTCTGCTTCTTTTACACACTCTTAAATCACAGGATGTATTGTAATTAAATTGTAAATAAATCATACGAACATATTAACATTATTTAATATTACTGAAATTAGTTTAAAAACCGAATAAATATAAATGTACACACATTTACACAAGTTTGTAAGTAGACTCAACGATGGGCCAAAAATCTGCACATTTCAGTGTGCACACATTCCGAGTAAGCCTACATATAACAAACTCATGCTTATAGTAAAGTAGGATTAACTTTTAAAAGTTATACATCATGTGGTTCAGTAGTATTATTAATGTATTATATTTACCTCCAGAACTGTCTTGAGCATTTGCGCTCTCAAAGAGCACCTCTTGCCTCCAAAAGCCGCCGTGCGTTCATTGCATTTGACACAATTCATTTCTTATATTGGGAAAAGACTTGCGCAGCCTATCTTACCACAACACACCTCCATTTTTCTTTATTTTTATTTAATCATTTTATATTTGGCGCCAGTTTATCAGGAAGTGATGATTTTGTTCTCTTTGACCCATTGAAGGGAAACACTGCTTTATTCACAAATCCTTTATGCAATATTCCAGTTTCGTGCATGAATTTCATTGGCATCTTTGGATGGAACCATAGCTAGTGAGAGCTTTATTAATTCACTTTTGCAACTTTACAAAACCCAATAAACTAAACCCACTGTAAGCAAGTGCCATATGACTAGGGCCAGATGGAATCTGCAGGCTTTTTTTGCTATTTCTGCGAAGACTTTTGGTAAAAATCTGCAGATTTCTGCTGAATTATTTTGGGAGTATCATAACTAAAATTATAAATTATATCTTTTTAACTTTTGTTAAATGTTTAAAAATGCAAATCCAGTTACATTCACTTTATTTGGTAAACAAAGCAAGTCTTTCATATAATATATCTACTAAAAGACAGAAAATATTACTGTACAAACTGCATTGTACATAAATCAGACGATATTACTGTAATTAATTTAAAAACTGAGTAAATATAGATTTACACACATTTACTTAAGTAAATAAACAGAATTAATGATGGACTAACAATCTGCGGAATTATGCGCGCGCAGATTCTGTGTGGGCCTACTTATGATCAATGCATTGAATTATTTAATAAGTCATTAATTCACTGTACTTTTTTTATGTTGTGTTTAGGGTGATGTTGGCGTTGACGGCTTTTCAGGAGAGAAAGGAGACCTTGGCAGAGCTGTAACTACATCAAACACACACATGCTGTGTTTCATTTCATTACAGCTGTCTGTTAATATAAGCAGGAAGAAAATCGAGTAAATGAAACCCTATGGCTTTATTTACTAGCTTGTGTCATTTGTGTATTTTTTTAGGGTGTGAAGGGTTACAAGGGGAGTCCAGGACCTAAGGGACAGCGCGGTGTGAGAGGAGATCCTGTAAGTCTTCCCGTGTGTTTATAATGGTTGATCTCAACACTAACATCTATCTGACATGATTTGTCTGTATATGATGCTGTGTTTACATTACAGGGCATACCAGGAATAGACAACAACATTCCAGGGCCAAAAGGCGAATTGGGAGACACTGGGCTCCCGGTGAGGCTTCGTTCCCCCCCTCTTTTTTTCTGGAAAATGTTAACTTGATTTGTTTGTGTGAGAGTGACAGAATGTTTCTGTTTCAGTAGCGATCTGCTCGAACTCAGATGTTGGATAATTGCTTTGTCCTGTAAACACATTACTGTAAAATAGGCTCATGAAGATTTGTGTTTTTATATGGGATTCAAACGTGTGCAACTATAAAGGTTTAATGGTCTTTTAATAGCACTGATACATTTGTTTAATCTGACTTGGTGGGGAACTTTATTAATCCCCTTGGGGAAATTCGTTCTTGTGTGTGTGTGTGTGCGTGTGTGTGTGCGTGCGTGCGTGCGTGCGTGCGTGCGTGCGTGCGTGCGTGCGCTTTACAGGTTTATGTCAATATTTTAAACACTTAACACAATAATACCACTATATAATACACTTATTACAAATAATACACTAAACCTACACACACACACACAAAATATTTAAAAAACATTTTTAAAAATGTACATATATAAATAAATATAAATTATATATATAATTATTATATATTATTATTATTATTATTTACAACTTATTAAAATATGAATTAAAAATAGTTAAAGTAGCATGCATACTATGTATATTTTTGTGTATAAATTATATATAAATATTCATGTAAATGTATTTATTATGTATATTTTTGTGTTTTATGTACGGTATGTGATTGTATTTATACATGCATACATACACTCACCGGCCACTTTATTAGGTACAACTACTAGTTGCGAGTTGGACTCCCTTTTGCCTTCAGAACTGTTTCCTGTTCTGTGGTCTTCTGCTGCTGTAGCCCATCCCCCTCAAGGTTGGTCAAGTTGTGCGTTCAGAGATGCTCTTCTGCAGACTTTAGTTGTAACGAGATTTTATTTGAGTTACTGTTGTCTTTCTATCAGATGGAACCAGTCTGGCCATTTTCCTCTGACCTCTGGCATCAACAAGACATTTGCGCCCACAGAACTGCCGCTCACTGTATGTTTTTTCGGACCATTCTCTGTAAACCCTAGAGATGGTTGTGCGTGAAAATCCCAGTAGATCAGCAGTTTCTGAAATACTCAGACCAGCTCGTCTGACCCCAACAACCATGCCACAGTCAGTCACTTAAATCACCTTTCTTCCCCATTCTGATGCTCGGTTTAAACTGCAGCAGATGTGTCTACATGCCTAAATGCATTGAGTTACTGCCAAGTGATTGGCTGATTAGTAATTTGCGTTAACGAGCTGTTGGAAAGGTGTACTTAATAAAGTGGCCGTTGAGTGTAAATACACAGTACAAATGTATGTATTAACTAAATACTTTATACATTATTAAATAATTTTCTTGGATGTGATTGTGATTGATTGTTTTGAGAACACTAAATTAAAGTAAATAAATAGTATTAAATAAACTAGTAGTAATAACAATGACAATCAATCAACTGCATTTATTGTGTAACAATATTACTTCAGGCACAAATGTACATTTATGACACTGTCCTGCACAATAATAAATGTCTTTTGTTTTTCTTGGCTAATTACAGTCTATTGCATTCTCACTTTGTTTTGATGAAGAAAAAAAAAAAAACTTATGACTTAAGTATCAGATATAAAAACACTTTTTTTTTAAAAAATTTACTCCACCCTGTGACTAATATCAGTAAAATTGTATTCCCATGTTCTGTTGTCAGGGTGACCAGGGGCCTCCGGGACTCCCAGGCAGAATTGGAGAGGACGGTGGACTTGTGAGTGTTTCCTACTCGATACTTTTGCAATTGTACCCTGTGAATAGCTTCTGGACTATTCCAGAGTTTAATACCAATGCTAACACATTTGTACACATTTGTTCATTTATTCCTTTATTTATTTATAACATTTTAGTACAACGCAACATTGCCTAAAAAAAGTACAAAAATCAACACTAGTTTAAAAACACAAGCATGCTGTAACACATAAACAGTGCAATAAAATCAACACTCTTAATGCTCAAATGCAAAAAAAAAAAAAAAAAATGATTAGGCTAATTTGTGGCAGAAGATTATTCCGACGTTTTTGACTGACAGCTGCTAAGGCCAGGTCACTACTTTGTTTACCTCCTAATCAAACCTCCTGATATGGCCCTTGATAATAAAATACTCCATTCAAAAACTGCATGATGTGTTTACTTGTTATCTTTGACTAATACTTAAATATGTTTGATGATCTGAAACATTAAAGTTTGAGAAACATACAAAAAAATTTTGTAAACAGTAAGGGGTAACGGTTTTTTAATACAAATTTATAGGCCTATATGTATATTACTAAAGACTATGGCCAGTGACAATTTTGCATTTTCATTGCAGTAAACATTATTTATTGAACAACAAAAAAATGAATTAATTAAAATAATCATTAATTCTATTTTACTCTTTTTTTTTTTTTTTTTTTTTTGCTCCAGTTACCGGCTTGTTGAGCATATAGGGTTTGATTTGTTATCCATGTAAAATTTCTTATATCTTTATTCTCCTTTTATGTCTGATATTTAGTGTGACATATACTGAATATACAACATAATGTTTGTGCATTGTATGAATGTTATTCTTTGGATAACTTCTCACTGTATTTCCATAGGGTACTCCAGGAAGAAAAGGCCCTCCAGGATTGCCGGTAATGCAGCATGAAGAATATATGTGAACTCTGTTGGTAAAAGAGTCAGTTCACACAGTTTAATTAAAAGGCTAACGGCAAAACAAGTTAAATGTTTGAATTAATTAAGCCTTTAAACTAGTGATACTAGTGCTCCAGAAAATGATAAGACATCTAAAATCTTTAATTGGTCTGGTCAAAACTGAAGAATTGTGTTGTTTCAATTCATTTTAAATAAGTAGTTTGTACAAGCAGCAAAGTCATTTTTTGTGTACAACAAATGGATAATTATTTAAAATAAAATGAAGATTGCAAATCTTCCATGCTTTTGGGAAGAAAAGTAAAACATTAGTACTATATAAAACACACAATATTTTCAAACCACATCATAGCTTCGTTTTTTACCTACATATTTTGCATATTTTAAAAGATTTTTAATGGAGAATATGAAAGCAAATAACTTTTGCTCATTTTGACTCGTTTTTCCAGCTCGTTTCACATATCCATGATTTAGCAGCATTCAACTTTTTAGTTTTATCTGTTTTGTTTTAGTTTATTGTATTGTAAGTAGTTTCAACCTGTTTATTCAAATCTGATCTCTTAAATTCTGTTGTCGTTATAATCTTTTATCATGTTATAATCTTTTTATTATTTATCTATTCTCTTTTCTTGTCTAATGTATTCTTATCCTTTGTGTTGTATCCTAATCCTGCTTTAAAACAATCTGTTCTAATGTTAAAATCTTTGTTTAATCTCTTCCAATGTCTTATATTTCTCTCTGTACTGCTATGGTAATGTGTGTGTCTCTGTAGGGTGAATCTTTAAATGAAAAAGGAGAACCTGGCCATCCAGGGCCTCCTGGTTATCCTGGACAAGTGGTGAGAATCTTTCACTCTTGTGTAACAAATATACACTCTGGTGTTTTTATTTGTGGGCTGTGTTTTGTTTTCCTGGTCATTTTTTTTTGTTTGTTTGCCTGATTAGGGACCACCAGGACCAAACGGATCCCAAGGAGAAAATGGCCATCCAGGTGTACCAGGTATCCCGGTGTGTATTAAACTAATTATAATAATAATTATTATTATTTTATTTATGGGCGAGGCAGTGGAGCAGTAGGTAGTGCTGTCGCCTCACAGCAAGAAGGTCGCTGGGTCGGTGGTTCGAACCTCGGCTCAGTTGGCGTTTCTATGTGGAGTTTGCATGTTCTCCCTGCCTTCGCGTGGGTTTCCTCCGGGTGCTCCGGTTTCCCCCACAGTCCAAAGACATGCGGTACAAGTGAATTGGGTAGGCTAAATTGTCCGTAGTGTGTGAGTGTGTGTGTGGATGTGTCCCAGAGATGGGTTACAGCTGGAAGGGCATCTGCTGCGTAAAAACTTGCTGGATAAGTTGGCGGTTCATTCCATTGTGGCGACCCCGGAATAATAAAGGGACTAAGCCGAAAAGAAAATGAAAGAATTTTATTTATAAATGGACACTCAAGGTCGCCTAACAACAAAACATTCCCAAAACAGTTAGTAAAACATTGTATTTATAACTTTCTCATCCTTCATGTATTTGAAATGATGTTTGGCAAACACATCTTAAATCTAAAATAACATGATATGAAAACAGTCATAAATGATAGGCCGTAGAGTATAGAGTATCATAATAGTTGTAGTAGCATATTCATGTTATGATGAAGAGCACAAAGGCCCCGTTTACACTGCAGCTTAATTGTGACACAATCACGTTTTTTTTTGCTCATATGTGACAGATCGGATCTGTTCGATGACCATGTAAACACCCAAAAAAAAATGCATGCATTCAGATATTCAGAGATTGTTTTCAGGTCTCCTTCATATGTGGAAATAAATCAGATATGTGACAATGCGACTATCATGTAAACAGGCAGATCGAATTTATTGAGGCACTTCGTTTTGTCTGTCATTAAACTTGGTACAACAATTTGGTACTTCTCCACGGTTTAATGATGTATAAGGAAGAGCCTGTGTGGAGACGCTGACGCGATAATCAACAACAACAGAGGAAACATGGAGGAGGAAAGTGGTCGACGGCAGAATTGGTGTAGAGTACTTTAGTAAATGGACTTCGTTACTTTACTTAAGTATTTTTTTTTAGCTAATTTGTACTGAGTATTAAAAATATAAGCAACTTTTACTCTCTACTTGACTACATTTTTGATTGAATATATGTACTCTTTACTCCGCTACATTTGAACTGACACTGATTGTTACTTGTTACTTTGTAATTGTGCGCGACTAGTCGGCATGTTTATCTACCACGGCTAATTTGTTGGGCGGACGAGGCGATATCACCATCTGCAGGATGCTGACGGTACTGTATGCTATTTATGAGCTAAATCACGTGAGGGTGGTGAATTAGCAGCTTGCCTAATACCTGGTGTTTAATTAGCGACATGGCTGCAGCAAATGATGAAGCCAAAGCCGGCACATCAAGCAGTGCAAGCCAAGATGACCATCCATGGCCTTATCTGAACAAAATGTTTTCATTTGCGGATATGCAGAATGGCTCTTACAGAATGCAGGGTCTGCTTTTTGCCACGAACCACGAAAATAAGTGCTTTTAAGAATTTATCGTCAAATTTGAGAAAACACATTGAAGTAAGAGTCTATTTAATGCTAATTTAATGTGAATTAAGAGAATTTAATACTGCGACATGACTGTTTTAGCTTAGTTTTTTTTTTGTGCAACAAATAAATGTATCATTGAAATTTTACATTTTGCATCAGGTGTATTTAGCTGTGAGTTTTTAATGTATTGTTGATTAATTTATATGTAGTTTACTAAGTTGAAAAATAATACTGCTTCTCTTTGTTTAATTTTAATCCAGAGAAAACATCCTAATCAATTGAAAAACTACTCAAAATCAAAGTATTGCCCCCCCTTTGAGACTGAGAGGTGAATCACATGAAAGTCAGCTCTAAATCTTTTTTTTTACTAGGTTTTACTACTTTTTATTTTGTTTGAACATTTGAGTTTGAGAGTTTTTGTTCAATTTTTTTTATCTATTTTGTTCTGCCATTTTGAAACATTGAGCTGTTCAATTTAATTTCTATATTAGGAAATAAAACCTTTCTTGGTGTTCTTTGAGCCTACATTCAGTATGAATAAAGTACTTAAGTTCTTTTAAAATTGGATACTTTAATACTTTTACTCAAGTCTTATTGGTAATGATGACTTGTAACTTGTAATGGACTAATTTTTACAGTAAGGTATCTGTACTTTTACTCAAGTATGGTTTTCAGGTACTCTAGTCTTTACACCTCTGCCTGTGGGGAGATGAGTTAGTATACAGGATACCATATATAAACCATAGGCGCAAGCTTCAATGACGACCCTTTCCCTCCTCCTCCGCCTCAAAATTATTTTAAAGTTGGACGAACTTAGCATATTCCGAAGAGCTAAAGACAATTTCTTCCTTCGTGGCTAGTGTGGCGCAGATGCTAGAAACCGCCTTTATGTATGTGCGATATCGTAAATTCTATGGCAAGTGTAAACACATGAATCGGATATGAGTCACAATTAAAAGAACGTGTAAACGGACAGACTTAAAAATCAGATATAGGCAGCAAATCGGAATTGGGCATCAAGACCTGACAGTGTTTTATTTTTATTCACAGGGTCCCTTTGGCCCTCCTGGAGGTGACGGTTCAAAGGGAGGTCGAGGACCCAGAGGGCCAAGGGTATGTAAGACTAATGCATTCAAATTCTTCTCTTTCTCTTTTCACTTTTTCTTATTGTAGAAAAAACACATTTCTTAACCTTCTGTCTTAACCTATTTTAGCATTAGATTTAATATTGCATATTATTCAAGGTCATGACAGTTTAATTTGAGCACACTTTATAATATAGCATGCATAGAAAAGCGTAGACTTGCATTATGCAAATTTGTTACAAACATACACACTGTATTTTTGTGCAGGAATTACAATTGACCCTTCACTAAGCCCCGCCCTCCTTAGTTACTGTTGCTACGCCTGTCAAGCTTTTATGCCTGGCATGTTTTTGTTCAATGTGTATGCGCTGGTGTCAGACATTCCAGGGATATAATTAGTCATTTTTGGCGAACAGGTGAGGTATTCGAGTAAACCAGACAAAAAAGGACTGCAGTATGCATTACAGGGGCATATTCACGATATAATAGCAACAGATTTGAGAATAATTCAATCAAAATTTAAGCTACAGTAGCTTAGCCTAGCCGCCTTATACGCTAACCATTTAACAGCTTAGCTCATGTACAGCAGGAGAGGGGAAATTTAAAAATAATCTAATATCGACTAATTAAACCGTGATTTCTCTATTTTAAGCCAAAAAAGCCTGATAGACTTATGTTGTGCTATGAAATATAGCGTTACTAACTGGCGAGGAAACATGACTGTGCTTTTACATAGTTCATTCATAGAAAGAACAGCCAGAAAGGGGAAGTTGATGGATTTGTGCACGAATATTAGCATCATCGACACATAACAATGTACAGTAAGTTACCCATTACTGTCAGTATGTTTGTGAGCTCTTTATAAATTAATGAAAAACAGCTGCGGGTAAAGTAAATTGACCGCAAGTGCTCAGTTTGTGATAATATCTTGGTTTTGTTCTGTTGTTTTGTAATTTCAAATGTTCGTTGCTTGAAACAGATGGAAATATGAAGTTCAGTAAAGTTAGCAACAGATTCACAGATTCATATTTTCCGGATTAAAAACTCATGTCGTTATGACCTATTCGCTATTAATATGACTAAGTTACTATGGCGAGGGCTTAAACGGAGCAGTGCTCATAAAATCGAGCGGAAAAAAAGAAATAGACAGCTGTGAAACAGAACCAGCTTTGTATTTTTGTAGGAAACACAGTTTAGATCTGTTTAGGGTAAGAGGTGTGTGAGTAATTGCCGTTGGCCTATCACTGAATGTGTCAGGAATATAAAAAAAACCAACTTAACTCCGCACCTTTAGCGCCCCTCACAGAGCTTAATCCACGCTGGCATTTATCCTCTTGGGTTTTTGATTTTGAAAAGTGACAAAATACCACCACCCCGTCCAAACTTTTAGGATACCGGGTATCAGATTTGCACAATATATAAGCACAACGACAAGAAAATGAATGAATGAAAACCAAAGAATATAAAATGTTTTAGTTATTTATTCATAGATGGATGGATAGATAAATGGATGGATGGATAAATTATTGTTAATTTGGATCTAGATTATATAAATTAATATTACCACTGGTCGCAATCCAATAGAAAAAAATCTAAAGGCTGTTTTTTTTCATTTAACTATAAACTGCTATTTTTGTTTTCTGTAGGTTATGCAATATTTAAATGGTTTAATAAAATTAATTAGATTTTTAAAAATCACCAAGCGATCACTCATTGTCCAGGGCCCCTAATCTAAACTTTGGGAACCCTTCTACTAGGGGATAGGATTGCACTATACATTTCATTATTGATATTGCAATGTTCACTAGTCTCCACTTCACTTCCTAATCTGCAATTGCCTCTTTGAATATCACACTAACTGTACAAAAAAAAAAAAAAAAACTACTAATACTTCCCTTCTTAGACTTTACAGACCTGAAACTTGCCTTTAGTACTTATTCATTGTTGCTCTTAGTTGTGTAAATTGCTTCCTTGTCCTCATTTGTAAGTCGCTTTGGATAAAAGCGTCTGCTAAATGACTAAATGTAAATGTAAATGTTCACAATATTATAGTAAACAAATAATATTATAGATGACCAAGAGTCACAGTTCACAATACATTAGATTTTTGCAGTCACTGCAAAATTTTACCAGAATAGATTAAAAATATTTAATTTGCATATGTTTTTAAGTCATGTGACTGTGTGAGCATTTTAGAAGAGATGAAAGCATTCAGGCACAATCAAGTACCATTTGTAATTTTTATAAAGGTCAATTTTAAACCTGAATATAATTAAAACTTCCAGGAAAACTGTAAACACTGTTTATTTTAGTTTTATTTTTTTCTCTGTTGTAATAATCAGTACTTGTAATTAGTTTATTATATTTTATGCAAATCATACAATCTCCACCAGAGTCATCCAAATCGATCTAAATTAATGAACTCTTTCCAAATAAAGAGGTTAAATTGGTGAAATTGTATTTAAATTGCAATAATATTATTTTGCAACAGCCCAACTAGAGGAATCCATGTAATAATCATCATAATCATAATATCACAATTGCTAACCAACCACTTCAGATCTGAACACCAAAAGCATTACAAAGTCTGACTGGCTTTTTGTTTTGCCAAAAGAATACCTAGTTTATTTATTTATTCATTTCAGGTTTATTTGACAGGGGCTATGCATATTAATACAAAAATATACAATGTGCCGTAATTAGCCAAATGGCTATTTTGCATCTGCAGTTCCTGGACTGATGGTAAAATAGTCTATCTAAAAACATAAAACAATTAATCTATATATTATAAATACAGAACACTAACACCTATCTCATTTAAAGATATACACAACTGACAGAAAAAATTGCCAATAAATATGTAGGCAAAGACAAAAGGATACAGAGAATTAACAGAGACATTAATTTTTCCATCACTATGCAACAAAACAACTGCATGTTTCAAAACAGACAAGATAAGCAAGCAATAGAAATGATTGTAATTAGGTTATTGTAAATTAATATTCTTCAGCCGTATAATATGGTAGTGTGATTTTACTTGTGATTAGGGTCTACCAGGTGACCCAGGACCTAAGGGGTCCCGAGGACCAGCAGGATTCAGAGGCCCACAGGTCAGTATGTGCATTTGTGCACCATTGATATTGAAGTACTATAGTGTGGCTTCCGATGTATGACTTTTTATTTAAACAGGGAGAAGATGGAGGAGATGGATATGGACCGGCTGGATCAAAGGGACACAAGGTACCTGTGATTTACTTAATGGATCTGTTTCATAAATGTTCAATTTGCAGCTGAACGTACAGTTTTTTGTCGTTTACTTTTTTATTTACTGTATTTTTTTCCAGACTTAATGTATTGTATTTTATCAGTTGCAATAAAAACATGTTGCAATTAATAATAATACAGTTATTGTCAATTATGCATAACAAACAAAGCAAACACATTTGGATTCGTGTTGAATTTAAGCATATACATTTAGTTTTATAACATATTTCCCACATGCCAGGAGTTTTAGTTAAGCTTTAAATAAATTTGTTTAAGCTTGGAATTGAAATGTTGTTCTTAATGAGGGCCACATATATTATTTTTATTTTATACATGTAATTTTTATATTGTTATATAGTGATATAAAAATATGTATGTATATGATATATATGAGCAACATCACACAAGTAGCAGTGCGATTTGGCTCTGTGTATCGGCACTGGTGGGAGGCGTGTGTTGGCTTAAGGCTGCAGGAAGAGTGCCTGAAGGCGCACTCGCCATGTGCTATCCGAACCGTCCCCAGTTTCCCGGATGGTTTGTGAAGTGTGAGTGCTCTGAATCGGGTTCAGTTCAGTTGGCCGGCCCTGACTTTTAGTGTAAGTGCAAAGCGTGCCTGAGCCTAAAAACGGACAATGAGACGTGAATTTTAAGGCACTGTTTCCTATTGATTTAATAATCATTCCTACTGTTCAATGAGCGCAGACTGTCATAGTTTATTTAAGACCAAACCCCTCACTGCACATTACCTGCACCTTTAGCAAACCTCCTACTTTCTGCAGCACGTGGAATTTATGATTGTTTATGAGCGTCAAAAGAGGCTAATCTGTTCGGCGAAATATTTGACTGTCACCACATGTCAAACGACTTTTAACGATATAAAGAAATGTCCACTTTCATCGGTGATGTAAGCGTGCTCAGGCCCAAATGATGACAGTGATGTGAGTGCGGGCTGTCGGGTATGACAGGAGTGGGGGACAAGTGTGCTTCGGCCTGGTTCAAGGCAACTGTACATAGTGTAAGTACGCCCTTAGTGTCCCACCAGTTACGATATACAGCCATATCGCACTGCTACGTATGTGATTTTGTGTTTATACAACAGTTCGACGGCATAATCGTGTAAATAAAAAGTCAAATGCAGAGAGACTAAAAAATCCTTTTGTGTGAGGAACTACTTTCTTCCATCATTCATTCACCTCTGCTGCTGACTTCAGAGCAGCAGAAACTGTTGCTACTTTTCAAACATCACTTTAGAGCTAGTGTTTAAATTATTCTGTAGCGTAATGTCTGAAATGATTGCAAACCAGGTGATTTTCACAGGGATTAGGCTTGGAATAAGGCTCAACAGCATGAAATGTCATCAGTCTACAGAGATTTCCCAGGATTTCTCTGTTGCAATCAGAAGATCACAATAATTAACCATGAATAAGCCAAAGCAAAGCATACAGTAGCAGATTACTATGTTATAAATACAGCACTACAACATACAAAAGAGAGAGATCGACTTAGAATGTCAGTTACATGTTTTATAATGGTTTGATCAGCTGTAGTTTGAAACTTACGCTGAGCATTTCTCCCCTAAAGACTAATGCGGGCTCTGTCGCCATCTTGTGGCAGACTTCTTTGCTCTGCTCAGTATGACAGGCTGATGGGTGCCGAAATGATAAATATTTAAAATAGGCACTATTCTTATAAATAAACTGCATGGTTGCAATCTAAACAACTACATTCTCAGCTAAAAAAGCCTAGAAACAACATTGTTGTCCAACAGCTGCAATTTGTCAAACTGTAGTGAGTATATTGATCCAATGTCATGCTGTCACTATGTTGCGGAGAAATACATAAAGGTGAAGTGGCTGTAAGAGTGCTGTTGTTGCGGAATATCACATGACTTTTAGCCAATCAGCTTTGAGAAACAGAACTGTTGTATAAATGTGTATATATAAATGTTTTATTTTATGTATTATTATTATTTTGTATATTATCATTTTGTTATTTACTTTTTTTGTTATGAATATTCAATTAACAGAATAAAATTGCTTTCAGGGAAACATTGGGTATCTTGGCTTTCCAGGTTTGGAGGTGTGTTAAAACTACTCACTACTCACTCAGGATTTGTTATGCAATTGTGTACATTTAAATAGTAATAATTGGAAACTAATGTAACGTTATATAAAAATTAATAGGGCGAAGATGGGAACAAAGGGTCCAGTGGAATTAAAGGTCATAAGGGTTACCAAGGAAGACCGGTACGACTTTTACTTTTCGTTTAATCACTTTTGAAAAGTTCATGTGCTTTTGTCTATGTCTATTTAACTTAGGGTGCTTTCACACCTGTGGATAGATTCTCTTGTTCAGAAACGGATTAAAATTGTTAAAATGTTGCACTTTTTTCTTGGTGCAGTTCACTTTCACACGGCGAAGATTCTAAACGGACCAAAAGAGCTAAAAACCAGTAATGTGTGAGTAAACTCGTTTCATGGTTTATTTTGCAGAGTCCTGCTCAGCTGTCATGTGTCCTTATTTTTATTTATGACGATGAGCAATAAGACATTACAAGCAAATAGCTGCGCTTTAATTTTGAATGGTGACACCCACCGTCGTCACCAGATATAAATCAGAGGTAAGACTTTCTCATACATAGCAGTTGGCTTATGCATTATAGGCTTTACATTGTAGAGAGAAATAACAGATAAACTAAGACTGTAGTTCGGTCAATTTTCCTAACGGATAAACGGCTCTCGTTAATAGTTCAATATTCTTTCACTTTCGTATTTTACATGAAATGCACATTTATTAGTAGGAATGACATCCCGCCCTACTCATCATTCTCTCTTCATATAGCCGAATATATGCCTATTACATATCTTAAATACACTGTGATATAGCCTGGTTCCGATCGTTTTGCTTTGTCAGAGTTTGTTTTCAATCGAGCTGACTACCTCATACATGAGGCGATCTCAGACTGATTGTTTTGGCGCAGATCCGAGCATGATTGCTGGATTCACATAGGCCAAATGAACCATGCTAACTGGGGAAACGCACCAGGGGCCTCATGTACGAAGACTTGCATTAAAATCATACTAAAACGTTGCGTACGCACAAAGCTGTAAATGTGCGAACGCAGTAAAAAATTTAGATGTATGAAACACTGCGTACACGGAATCCTACGCATATTCTCTTTGTACATCCAAATTAACGTGAAACTGAGCGCACGAGCGCAAAACCCCACCCTGCCTCATTAGCAAATATGCTAATGACTCTACTTTGGCAAAACCAAATTAAAAAGCAATGAGAAAAGCAAGCAAGGAGAGAAACCTTGAACAGAATGTGAATTGGAGGTGCTCCTATTGGAGATAGACTGGAGAAAAACTGTGTTAATTGCAAGTTTTTCCTCCGGAATTATTAACAAAAGAAAAAATAGAGTGGGAGAGTTTAGCTGATGCGGTTAACACAGTTGGATCTAAACATCGCACTGAGTGAACCAAAACCAAATGGTCTGATGTAAAGGTGTAAAATTTTGTAGTGCCTATTTAGGCTAAGTGCAAATAGCACACCTCGTTGGAATGAGATAGTTGAGTGATTCCCACTCATCACCGTTTGATTGACAGAGACAACAGAACTAAAGAGAGTGGTAAACAGCAGCGTGAGTGGCGTAGCTCGTAAAGCACATGGCAACATTTTTGACACGGTCGAACATGAACTCGGTTCGAATCCAGCGTCTCATGAACTCATTCTTCTTTCTCCACTACATATCAGATTTTGCCTACTCTCCATCACGGGGAAGACAAGTAGGAATCATTAATAAGTGTTTATTATGTCAAGCGCATTTGAGCATCACAAATTATTTGCACATTTATTGAATGGAAATGTTTCTGATTCACCTATGCAAATTCATCTTCAGATGGCGCCTTTATAGCAATGTGTGTGCAGTCGATCGCTCCGATTACATTGGGAAATCCAGCGATCACTGCAAATTGCAATTACACGTTTGTCTGGTCAACTGCATGGTATGGAAACCTTAAATATCTGCTAGACATGCAGCTGATCCCGTCCCGTTCAGCTGCCATTGCACGGCTCAAAGATACCTTGTAGTGTGTAATTTAACACAATTGCCCCTAGAAGTTGCCAATGGAAATGAAACAAACACACACAAGAAATGCATGTGCACCAGACATGAAGTTGACATGGACCAATGCACATCCAAACGTGAGCGTGAAATCTGGTGCACGCATAGTTTTTGTGTGTATGCAGCGTTGATGTGTGAGGCCCCAGGTTTCGAAACAAAAGTATAGGCGTGAAAGCACCCTTAAGTTAATTGACTTACTTTATTTATACTATAGAAGAGGTTTTGTAAGTAAACATGCTGCAATATACTTGAGGTTTATGCTATTTTGTGTCTGGATGTGATCAGGGGAATGCTGGTCGTCCGGGTAACCCAGGGATTAAAGGAGAAAAAGGGTTGGATGGACACATGGTTAGTCATTTGCATATTATGCACTAATAAATCTCAATGTTACAATTAAAATTGCATGTTGATTAGATATTCTTAAAATCTAGAACTTGTTGATTTTTTTTAAAAATTAATTTCAAATGTTAAATTGTTTTATGATTTTATTTTTAGGGTGAAAAGGGAGTTCCTGGAATCAGTCCAATGCCTGTAGGTTCATGTTCATATAAAATAACTTTTTTCTAGGTTTCAAATATTAAATGATTTATTTTCTGTCCTTCTGTTTTGCTTTTCTCCATCCAGGAATGTGACCTGGTTGAATATATACGTAAAAACTGTGGTAAGTTTAAAGTACTAAATTAAGTTTAAGTTTAAATGTTACAGGGTGTTAACCAACAAGACTCAGCAAAGTCTGTGTGTGAGTGTGCTATATATATATATATATATATATAGTCTGTGTAATGAGTACTTGAGCAGCTCCCAGCTGTGTAATGCAGAGTTCAGACTTCAGAGTTCAGAGTGTTAACCAACAAGACTCAGCAAAGTCTGTGTTAGAGTGTGCTATATATATATATATATATATATATATATATATATATATATATATATATATATCCCATCTGTGTAATGCAGAGTTCAGACTGCATGATTTTCAAAGTAGTCGTGTCACAGATGTTTTCACACTGCATGACTATCTGGGTTAGCATTTTGTCCCTGATTTGTTTACACTGCAAAATGGATTGGCGACAGGTTTCACACTGCGTGACTTTACAATAGGAAGAATCGCTGATAACTGATCGCTGATAACTTTGTCCAAACCACTCTCACACGTAGTATCTATTTTGTTATTAACTACATAATGAGAAAGAAGCCTTTAATGGGATCGAAAATTTACATATTTGCTCACCTTGGTTTGAAGGGAATTAGCAATTTCTCCTCAATCTTTTTTCTTATTTGACCCATTTGTGATATTGCTCATATGACATGTCAAACAGACACGGGTGCTCCTGTCAAATTTCCACTAGTTTTTCCTCCAATTGTTGTGTCCAAATAAACTGAAAATGAGTCCTTTTAACTTCTCCTCCAAAATCCCGCTGGCCTGCAGGTACACACATGGATGCTGCTCCCTCATTGGCTGTGGGCGATCGCCGATGTTATTTTCATTCAAAACTCCTTTCACACGGCATGATCTGAATCGCCGACAGCTCCAGATATTTAGCATGCCAAATATCTCACAGGCATCGGCAACTCATCTGTGATTCTTTCAGATCGCTTCTTTGATAGTTAACATTGTGATTGTCACTCACGTGAATGAGCACTGATTTTCCAGTGTTTTCGGGCATTTGTCTGCGATTTCTCAAAACCTATCGGCGAGTCAAAATCTCGTGAAAAAATTATGCAGTCTGAACTCAGCATTAGAGTAATCAAAGGAGAATCATAACAGGTGTGTGTGTGTGGTGCCTGAAGGGAGTTGTAGTCCATATGTAGATGGAATTGTAGTCCTCCAGTGATCTGTATGGAATAGATTGCTGTTGATTGTGACAAATTCATTTCTAATAATTGCTAATAATATCGTCTTCAACATGTACAAGTTAGCTAATTTTAAATAGATTTTTAGGTCATATGTATCATATTATACGCATTATAACTTTTATATTTCTTTTTCCATCTGCACAGCTTGCTGCTCGGGTATGTTTTGTGTCATTCATCAGAAACTTCAGATATCTTTATTTATGGTTGAAAATATAATGTATTTACTATGTTTCTCCCTAATATTCTCAGGTAATGGTACCCGGTGTCCAGTTTACCCAACAGACCTGGTGATAGCACTGGATTTATCTGCTGGTGTGTCTTCTGAGGAGTTTGAGCGGATGCGATCTGCAGCTTATTCCTTACTGGAGGACATTTTCATCTCCGACACTAATTGTCCACAGGGAGCTCGGGTGTCTGTGATGTCCTACAGCAACGAGTCCAAAACTCTGATCCGATTCACGGACCACCTTAAGAAGCAAAGCCTTCTGGAAGCTTTGAATACAACTGCTAGAGAGAGAACCACCAAAAACAGGGACATAGGGCAAGCCATGAGCTTTGTCGCCCGTAACATCTTCAAGCGGGTCCGGAAAGGGATGCTTATGAGGAAAGTGGCCATTTTCTTCACAAATGGACCTTCGGAGAGTGAATCGAGGCTCGCTACAGCCATGCTGGAGTTTAAAGCGGCAGAAATCAGTCTTGGAGTGATCGCTTTAAATCCTGCTGATGATGTGAGACGAGCAATGCAGGTAGATGAATGAACGAATGCATTTTGATTTGCTCACGCTCAATCTGCCCAGTTGGTGGAATGAACTCCCTAACTGCATCAGAACAGCAGAGTCACTCGCTACTTTCAAGAAACTACTAAAAACCCAACTATTTAGTCTCCACTACACTTCCTAAAACAAAAACTAATACTACTAATACTTCCCTTCTTAGACTTTACAGACCTGAAACTTGCCTATAGCACTTATTCATTGTTGCTCTTGGTTGTGTAAATTGCTTCCTTGTCCTCATTTGTAAGTCGCTTTGGATAAAAGTGTCTGCTAAATGACTAAATGTAAATGTAAATCTTTAGTATTGTGATGACAAGACATGATTATTACACTTATTGGGGGTTTAAAGCTGCAATAACATTAGCTGTTTAACTTAGTATTTTAGTCAGTTTGATTTATGTAAGTTAAGATGACTATAAAACTATACACTCATAATAAACATACATACACACTAGTTGTCAGGGTTGATGAGGGGTAATGGGGAAGAAGGAGGGAGGACCCAAATGCAGAGTGAAAGGTTATTTATTTATAATAAAATAAAAGGCAAAATAAACAACCCCGAGGGAGAAAACATGAATAAAAGGCAAAAACATACTTGACTGGGCTGGCAGGACAAGACAGGGCTGGAAACAACAAGACAGAGAAATATCAACGACGAACTGGCACAGGACAGCAGACATGAGGGGATTATATGCAGGGCTAAATTAACTCAAACAGATGAACCTAATTAACTAATAATGGGGTAACAAGGAGGGTGGGACTAGACAATAGACGGGAGAGCACATGACACAAAGAGACAACACAAGCCATGCGCTCACATATAAACAAAACTAGAACACGCAGCCAATGAGATAAATCATTAACCACGCGTTCATGACAACACAAGCACGCGGTGCACGTGCTAAACACAACACCAACAGAAGACTGAACGCAAGACACGAGTACACGATGAATGAAAGCACTCACCGTGCACTCACACATGCAGCGTGCATGTTTCATCCCAGCGCCGACCAAAACCGAAACCAACCGGACTGAGACGCAGGGAATGAAACACCACGCTGCAGACAGACGAAAACACAAACACGAGTACAAGACCGCGCGTCCGAGGCACGCAGAGCCCGCGCGACCGCATCAATCGGGAGCGCGCACACTCTGCGTATACCCATGACGGCGCACGCACACACAGAGACACACAAAAATAGAAACAGGACAAGACAGGACTAATGTCTGGACTCTGCCACTAAAACAAGAATTCACAAGACCAGAGTGGCCAAACCCTAACACTAGTGGTGTAACGGATCACAAATCTCATGGTTCGGATCACATTATAGTTTTTGTAGTGACGGATCGGACCATTTTTCAGATCAGCCAGAAAGGGGAGGAGATGGATAAGAGGGGAACATATGCTGGATAAGTTGACGGTTCATTCCGCTGTGGTGACCCCAGATTAATAAACGGACTAAGCCGAAAAGAAAATGAATGAAAATAAAGAAATAATCGGCTGAATAAAAATAAAAAGTAAATTATTCAGTACTGTGAAAAATTCTAAAAATAAATAAAATAAAAATACTACTGTTGCTGAAAACACTAAATGTATAAAGTGTATATTTATTATAATACGTATATATAGTCTTATTTTTAATAAATGATTTAGTATAAAAGAATTTTTCAGTGGTATATTTTTGATGGCTGGTTGTCGCCACCTACTGGTTAAATAATGTAAAACTATAAACCGTTATCTGTGTTATTTGACTGTTTGTCGTGTCACAGATGTTTTCACACAGCATGACTATCTGGTAGCGTTTTGTCGCTGCTGTGTTTACACTGCAAGATGGATCGGCGACAGGCAGTTTCACACTGCATGACTTAACAATAGGAAGAATCGCCGTAAACTTTGTCCAAACTACGTCTTACAACCAAAATCATGTAGTATGTCTTTCGTTATTAACTACATATTTAAAAAGAAGCCTTTAATGGGATTGAAAATGTACATATTTGCTCACCTGGGTTTGAAGGGAAATAGGCACAATGCCAATTCTACCCCTTAGCCCTTCCTTTACCCCTACCCCTCATTTTGCGCCTGCGCGCCAAGGGGTAGGAGTGTGCCAATTCTCTTTAGCTCGAAGGCGCAGGGCTAAGGGGAAGGCGTGAATAGCCCTTCGAACAAAGATTTTTCAGGACCACACTTGAAACCAAGGGGTAAGAAAATTTCCCAGAATGCACCAGACACAACGGCAGTATTGGTGAACCCGGAAGTAAGATCCACCAATTAGTAGTTTGTATTATTATTAAGAATTTTTGACAAACAAACACATTTTAACATATTCATAACCGGGTTAGTGTTTTACCGTCATGCTTTTAAAAAAACGCTAAAAAAAACGCTAAATTTCGCTATCTATAATCCCTATTAAATATCTCCTATACATCAGTCCCAGAACATTCTGACGCTGGAATACCCTGTCAGTAATATCTAGTGGCTGTCAATGAGCTTTTTACAGTGTCTGCTATAATGTAAATGTTGTTTTTGGTGTGTTTACATTGATGAATATGGCCACTGTGTAAATACACAGTGAAGTTACAATCTTATTGCCACATTAGATCGTTATGATAACATAATATACGTCTTCAGTAATCTCCTGAAGATAAATACCAAAAAATAACACAACTGGAATCACTACAGCAGTCGCCATCGTCTGATCTCACAGGAGAAGCAGGAGATCGCGAGGACATATGATGACATGTGCAGGTGCTGTAGTGCTGTCCCAATTCTTATGGGTAAATTTTGAAGCCCTTCCCCTTAACCCTCGGTTGTAAGGGCCAGGGGGAAGGGGTACAAAAATAGAATTGGGGATTGGGCCTTAGCAATTTCTCCTCAACTTTTTATCTTTTTTAGCCAGTTGTGGTATTGCTCAAATGACACGTCAAACAGAATAGGGTGCTCCTGCCAAATTTTCTCTAGTATTTCCTCCATATCTTACGTCCAAATAGAGCAAAAAGAAGCACTTTTAACTTCTCCTCCAACATCCCGCTGGCCTGCAGATACCCATACTAGTGGATGCTGCTCTCTTATTGGCTGTAGGTGATCACTGATTTTATTTTCAGTCAACCCATTTCCCATGGCATGATTTGAATCGGCGACAGCTCCAGATATTTAGCACGCCAAATATCTGATGTGGATCTGCGAGTCATCAGTGATTCTCTCAGATCGCGTCTTTGATAGCTCACACTGTGTAATTGTTACTCACGTGCACGAGCACTGATTTGCTTGTGATTTCAAGCATTTGTCTGTGATTTCTTAAAACCTGTCGGCGAAAATCTGGGCTAAAATCATACAGTCTGAACTCTGCATTTTTGCGCCGGGTGTATGATAGGGCCCTGAATCTCCTAGAATATGTGCAAATCACCGTCATTTATAATTTATGTCGTGTGGGTGTTGAGATACCGAATTTTTAATGATTATTCATGCAGCTTGCACTGAATTTATTAATGGAGGCTAAACAAGTAGTGACAGAAAACACCTTTAATAACCTAAGAAACCCACCACCTCCTGAATAACCTACCACAACTTCTTCCATCGTCATTATATTTTACAGGAAAGCCTAAATGCTGTCATACATATGATTTGAATGACGCGAAAGGCGATCTCTCTGCAACCATTACAAATTTAGTTAAGTAAAAACAAAAAGGTAATAATCCACAGGTCACGTGTTTTTTGAACCATGGGTTGTGATCCACTAGAATCACAGATCAACCAGGATTCGTTACACCCCTAATATATTCATCATAAATATATACAGGACACGCACATATTTTGTCAAAACAAGCTTTTATTTTGTATGTGATTAATCTTTGCCCAGCACTAGTCTTTCTAGATACATTTATAGAAGGATTATAATGAATTATAACTCTGTTTAGAATTATTTATAAGCATGAGCTTCATATGAGTGTTACCAAAATTTCTCCCAAAGCTCCAACACACAATCTTTATGTACATAGAAATCTCACGGTTTTCCACAGAATTCTCATCTGCGTACAAATGTCTCCAAAGCCCATAAGGAAGTTCAAATCAAACCTTTTCCATAGAAAGCTTTTTGTCTTTTTCTTTCCCTAGTTAGGAAAGAAAAGCATGAATAATATTTATATAATATTTATATATCTTTGAATGTTTGTTTTAGGTTGATGACACAGGAAGCTACATTATTGTTGATGGCAGAGGAGTCAATCGCATCAAACGCTGCATCATTTGTTTTGGTAAGCTCCAGTGCAGACACAAAGACTACCATTCACAGTTTCTTTTTATGTTTAGGAAAGACTTCTTTAAAGGGATAGTTCACCTAAAACTAAAAAATCTGTTGTTTTCTCACCCTTGTCACACAACTATTTGCGATTTTTGTTTCTGCTGAACACTCAACATATTTTTGAATAATTTCACCATTGACTTCCATAGCATTTGTTGTTAAATTAAAAAATTTAATTATTTTGTCAAAGCTGAATTTAGCTTTAGTGTCGGACAATTCTTCAGAAATCTGTGTCATATGCAGATTTTTTGTACGTCAATATTCATAGCATTTGCCTTGAAGCTCTAAATTGAGCTCAGGTACATTCTGTTTCCACTGATCATTCTTGAGATGTTTCAGCAGCTTAATTGGAGTTCACCTTTGGTCAATTCAGTTGATTTGAAAAGGCATACACCTGTCTATATAAGGTTCCAGTGTTAACAGTGCATGTTAAACCACAAACCAAGCATGAAGACAAAGGAATTGTCTGTAGACCTCCAAGACAGGATTGTCTCGAGGCACAAAGCTGGGGATGTTTACAGAAAAATTCCTGCTGCTCTGAAAGTTCCAATGAGCACAGTGGCCTCCATCATCTGTAAGTGGAAGATTTTTAGAACCACCAGGACTTTTCCTAGAGCTGGCCGGCCATCTAAGCTGAGTGATCGGGGGAGAAGGGCCTTAGTCAGGGAGGTGATCCATAACCCAATGAACAATCTGTCTGAGCTCCAGCGTTCTTCTGTTGAGAGAGGAGAACCTTACAGAAGGACAACCATCTTTGAAGCAATCTACCAATCAGGCACTCTATGGTAGAGTGGCCAGACGGTAGACACCCCCTGACTGGAATTTGCCAAAAGGCATCTGAAGGACTCTCAGACTATAAGAAACTAAATTCTCTGGTCTGATGAGACTTAAAATGAACTCTTTGGAGTGAATGACAGGCGTTATGTTAGGAGAAAACCAAGCACCGCTCATCGCCAGGCAAATACCATCCCTACAGTGAAGCATGGTGGTAGCAGCAGCAGGAACTGGAAGACTAGTCAGGATAGAGGGAAAGATGAATGCAGCAATGTACAGAGACATCCTGAATGAAAACCTGCTGCAGAGTGCTCTTGACCTCAGACTGGGGGAATTTTGAGGAAATCAATGAATTTAATAAATTTTGGATTAAACACTGACCTGGACAGATTGTTGTTCATACAATTAGTTTATTATAAGTTTTAAAACTTCATTAACATTTTTAAAAATATATTATGTTGCAAAAAAAGGTGTGCAAACAACTGTACTTTACTTATATTTTGACACATTATTTAAAATATGAGGCTAAGAAAGAACTAAATTAATTTTTTTTTTTTTTTTTTTTGAGGCAAGTTGAAAATCTTTTCCATTTGGCCCAACCAGCCCATTAGAAAAAAATACTCTGTGTCTAGTCCTGTACAAGTCTGAAATTTCTTTCATAATTGTTTGAAGTCCTACACTGGGTCCTAACAACATGCAACCTGACAAGCAATTTATCTTTCTGCACTAAACGCAGCGTCACAAGACTGAAGTATTTAAAAACCAGTCACTGCAATCCCAACAAATTGGTAAAGGCTTTAAATTTAAGTAATACACATTAAACTGCTTTACAATTCATAATAGCCTACGGATGTTGATGGTTTGCGCTAAATCACAGTTTTGGCATTTTCAAACCATCTGCTAGTTATTTTCAAGATCTGAGGTGAACTGTCTGCTGCTGCTTTCAGTAGTATGGCAATAAATGTCATGGTAAAGAGTACCAACTTACATTGGTAGCTGTTAACACTGAATAAAGCACATAATCAGTACCTGAGGTGATCATTGTCACAATAGTTCATGCTGTTGTTTTGCGGTGACGTAGCTGAAATAAAAATCTTTTTTGAAATAGAAAATTGTGCATCACTGTGGCAGATGATTCGGATAAAAACTCCTTTTAACATATAAAAGATACCTTTCATCATGTCATGTCACATGTTGTTAGGACACTTTTAAATTTGGCTTGATGAAACCTGCAGAAACCTTGAACATGGATTACAACAGTGTTTATTATCTTTTTTTTCCAGATCGTTGCAAGCCAGACCCAGTCTGTGGTAGAATTCTCAATCCGCAACCCCTGCAGATGGATATGGACTTGTCTTTGCTGCTGGACGGCTCTGATAACCTTAACACTCAACAATATTTACATTCAAAAGCGCTTCTATTGTCTCTGTTGGACAGAATCGGTGTGAGCAACGAGCCCAGTCGAGCAGACAGGAAAACCAGAGTGTCTGTCTACCAGCAGAGCTCCATTTATGGCTCCTCTTACCTCCACGAGGAGTTCAGCTTCACTAAATTTAAAGATCGCAACATCATGAAGCGCCACATTAGTAGTAGCTTAAAGCAAGTGGGTGGGACGTCCCATCCCGAGTTTGCTTTGGAGTGGTTGATCACTAACATTATCCTTAAAGCGGAGAGACCACGAAGCAAGCGGATGGTTGTGGCTGTTTTCTCCGCAGAGTCTGAGCACAGCAAAGCTCAGTTTGATTATTTGTCCCGACTGTGTAAGTGCCAGAATGTAGTTATGTTTATCCTGATGGCGGGACAGAGGTTCGACTGGAGACGGATGCAAGAGCTCAGCAGTTCTCCTCTAGAGCAGCACCTGGTGTTTTTGGATGATCAGGAATATGCCACACGCTTCCTGTATGCCTTCCTGCAAATGTTGCACAGTAAGGATGTATTAGCAAAAGAACGCTGCTTTAGTAATGTTTGCTAACATGCTCTGCTATGTTGACATGACTTGCAGATTATTCCAAAAACTCTCAATATCATCCACTTTCCTTTTTCTATGGAAATGAACAGATTATTACCCTGCACGTCATGACTTTGCAAAATATTATGCGATCCTGGATTAACTTCTGTGCTTATCCTGGAACATCATTTTTGTTTGAAAATGTAATTCATACCTGTTCCCCACCCCTAATCCCAACCATAACTGTAAATTATTCCAAAATCAGAGGGGAATAATAGTTGGATAACAATCATGTTGATGTGCATAACCCTAACCGTAAGCCTAAACTTAACATAAACGGTAAAGGTAACTCTTAATTCGGATTGGCTGATTTTAATGTTGTTCCAGGATCAACATGGATGTTAATTCAGAAGCATGTCCTACTTGCTGAAATCAGGTTGGCATCATTACCCTTTAACTTGTACAATATATATACACACAATTTTAAATAAATAATTGTATAATAGTATAAACTTTAAAATAGTAAAACAGTATAAACTTTATATATATTTAAAAAAAAATAAAATAAAAAAAAATAAATATATATATATATATATATATATATATATATATATATATATATATATATATATATATATATATATATATATATATATATATATATATATATATATATATATATATATATATATATATATATATATATATATATATATATATATATATATATATATATATATATATATATATATATATATATATATATATATATATATATATATATATATATATATATATATATATATATATATATATATATATATATATATATATATATATATATATATATATATATATATATATATATATATATATATATATATATATATATATATATATATATATATATATATATATATATATATATATATATAAATATATATAATATATATATATATATATATATATATATATATATATATATATATATA